TTTTTTTTTCGTATTGGGATAAAAAATTTATAAATAAGTTGAAAAGTTCTATTGGCCACTAGAACTTTTCAAGTTATTTTTTTCTTTCATACTTGTGTTATTCTGTAGAGAGGGAGATAGATACTATTTTATATCACAGCCCGTCAGATGGCTTCGTAATCTGACCCAGGGAGATTTCTTGTGCCTATGTTGGCGAAAGCAGTGGAGTACTCGGGAAGGCCGTCTGTTCGTAGGTCCCTGTCGCCGTTTACGTACGTCACACCTATGATCATGCCCTACCAGTCCGGCGTGGTCCGCTCTGCGTGTAACCATTGCGGGCTTACAGGGAGTCTTCCTGGTCGCGCGCGCGCGTACGCGAGAATCAATTGTAATACAAATAAATTTATTAAGCAAATCGAAAAAAAAAACAAATTACATTTTCTTTTTTACATCGTTAAGACACTGTTTATACAACTGTAAGTGTGGATGATTCGAGGGTAGTGAAAGTTGTGCGATATCAACAGCACTTTGATAAAATTGACTTGCCTTTGAATATTTTTTCATTTTTTCATGTACCGAACCGAAGTTGTGATAGGAAACAGCCAAATCAGGATGATTCGAAGGCAGAGCTTTTTCGTAGATTTTATGTGATTTTTCGTAAAATTCAAGTGCTTTCGAGTAGTCACCCATGTCATTATACACTTGACCGATGTTGCTGTATGAAGTAGCCAAATCAGGATGATTCGCAGGCAGAGCTTTTTTTGTGATTTCTAGATCTTTTTCGTAAAATTCAAGTGCTTTCGAGTAGTCACCCATGTCGCTGTACACTCCGCCGATGTTGCTGTATGAAGTAGCCAATGAGGGATGATTCGAAGGCAGAGCTTTTTCGTAGATTTTATGTGATTTTTCGTAAAATTCAAGTGCTTTCGGGTAGTCGCCCATGTTATTATACACTTGACCGATGTTGCTATATGAAGTAGCCAAATCTGGATGATTCGAAGGCAGAGCTTTTTTTCGTATTTCAAGTGATTTTTCGTAAAATTCAAGTGCTTTCAAGTAATCACCCATGTTATTATACACTTGACCGATGTTGTTGTATGAAGTAGCCAAATCAGGATGATTCGAAGGCAGAGCTTTTTTTGTGATTTCTAGATCTTTTTCGTAAAATTCAAGTGCTTTCGAGTAGTCACCCATGTTATTATACACTTGACCGATGTTGCTGTATGAAGTAGCCAATGAGGGATGATTCGAAGGCAGAGCTTTTTCGTAGATTTGATGTGATTTTTCGGAAAATTCAAGTGCTTTCGAGTAGTCACCCATGTTATTATACACTTGACCGATGTTGCTGTATGAAGTAGCCAATGAGGGATGATTCGATGGCAGAGCTTTTTCGTCGATTTTAACTGTTTTTTCGTAAAATTCAAGTGCTTTTGAGTAGTCACCCATGTTATTATAGACTAGACCGATGTTGTTGTACGAAGTAGCCAATGAAGGATCATCTTTCGGAAGAGTTTTCTGCTTGATTTTCAGAGATTGTTCGTAAAATGCAACTGCTTCTTCATATTGTCCTTGGTTTCGTTTCATCATTCCAAGCTGGTGATAGATGTATGCTCTATCACTATCGTTCGATGCTTGTTCCAATAGTGCCATATATAGTTCTTCGGCCTTGTCGAATTGACCTATTTTGTGTAACAATTGACCCATTCGATGCCATCCAGTGCCGCTGACCTCTTTTCGTATAAAGTCAGTTAATTCTCGTAGTTGTGGATCATCACCTGAGGTAAGTTGAAGATCGACTTGATAGAATGCACGATTGTTGTCAATTTTTCGCACTTCCCCAATACGAAAGACGGTGTGCATGGAGAAGAGAACTTCTTCTTCCTTATAATAGCTCACCTCCTGGATGGAGGCGAATGGAGTTGATGATACTGTAGGATCAATGGTTATTTGGAATAGAATTCCAACCATATCAGTCATTTTCAAGGCGTCTTTGGCGAAAACAAGGGAGATATCTGAATTTGTGCTGGTGGATAAAAAGTTGTTAAAAGAAATAAGCCCGCCTTTGTTTTTTGCGAGCTTTTCAAAATCTGCTTTCGATAGGCCTTGCCCTCGAAAGATTGTAAAAATCTTGTTATGGTATTGACTGACCTGATTTTTGTATAAGGTTTCGATTTGTCGATGTACATCACACAGGAAAAAACCCATTCGTATCATAATGTCGCCATTGAGTGTTCGTAATGCGCCATTCAGCATTTTGTAGGTAAAACATTGGCGTGTATACCACCAAATGGCGTTGGATGCTTTATAATTACGTTGAAATTCTTGGATAATTTTGATTTCATTCGTATTGCCTTGATATTGTTCTTGGCAGTAGGTGACCAAATCTTGGACGGCTTGTTGTTCATGTTCGATTTCAAGGAGTATTTCCTTGAATATTTGCGAATACATAAAAGAAGGTTCTAGCTGATCTAGATTCTTGCTAGAACCTCCTGCATTCACACTAACAATGCTCACCGACATATGATCTTGATTGTATTGTTTGATTGCTGTTGCCAATTTGTCGCAAATATGTTTGATTGAAGTGTGAACACCTTTAATTTTCGGCCAATTTTGTGCCCATACTTGATGCCGTTGTTTATTGCCACAAAATATAAAAATGGCATTTAATTTTGCCATATCATGAATGTCCGGCACTAAATGTTGTCCAAGTGCACCTGAGGAGATAACAAATGAGATCTCCTCTTGATTTTCTGTGAGCTGTTCTATACATTGTTCAGCTGTCGTGCACGTATTGACTTGATTGACGACAGCACGTAATTGTTCCATTGTATTTTGGCAATCTTGATTTGCCATGTCGATATTTCCATCGACCCATATGACCAAATAATTTTCAGCCATACGGTGTCTTTGATATCGAGTCATTTTTGATGCCATTTTTGCTGCTTGATTAGTAAATAGATTGTTGTTTGAATAGATATTACTTTTGCTATTTATATGTTGGATGTCGACTGTTTTTTTCGTTGAAACTCAAGGTCAAACTTCACCTGGATGTTATCAAAAGTATCGTTGTCAGTAACAAAAGGTAGAGAAAAAAAACCAGCAATATCATTTATTTTATGGTTATTCTTTCCAACTTTCGTTTTCTTATCATCTACATAGTTAATAGTCACTTGAAAGTCAGTGCGTTGGATGTCTTATCTCATTCGGTTTTTATTTGTCTTTCATTATCTCGAAACAAATAAAGATATTGTCAGTTTTATTTTTTTATTATGCGTAAGACTTGCTGTCTGATAATGTGAGTAGAAGAAAATGAAGAATAAATTCAATACTGTTACAAACAACAATAGAACAACAGTTTCTGCTTGCTTCCCCAATATACTGTTCATCATTCACGAGTTGTTCAAGTAAAATAATAATAGTTCGAATATAATTGAGCATTGAAGTACGTATTATAAATTCCAGGAAAGTACTAAAATATATAGATATTTTGAGATTTTTACGTCATATGTATTGAGAAATAAGTTTTTTCTGAGTATAATAAATATTTTGTTAATACAAATCACGATTTTCAAATATTTAACCGTTGATGGAAAAGACAGTACAAAGAAAAAGAAATCTTACTTGAAAATGAATTACTATGTGATTACAATTATTCAGTTAATTTTTACAG